AAGGAAGGAGAGGAGAGGAAAAGAAAGGAGGAGGAAAAAAGGGAGGGAGGAGAGCAGAGAGAAAAAAGAAAGGAAGGGAGGAAGGAAAAATTGAGGGAGGCAAGGAAGCGGGGGAGGTGGGGAGATCACCGATGTTCCCGAGTTGGGTCATGAAATGCCAGGCTCAGAGTGCACCAAGCACCCCACACGGTTCAATCCTGAGCTACATCTCTTCTCTTCTATTAAGAGTTTTAACTTTCTGTGCCAAGTCTCGATCCCGTCTTTGAAGATTGGGTTATAGAACCCTTTTTTGCTGAAAAAGGTCTATTTCTCACCTCATTTTCTCTGCCTCTCCTTTCAGGTCTGGTGCAACAATTCCCAGCTGCCCGTGGACCACATCCTGGCCGGCTCTTTTGAGACCGCCATGAGGGTACGTTCTCTAGGGTTATTTATCCAGGTGGGGTGGAAATTGGCCCTTCTGGACTTTGTGCGGTGCAGTTGATATACTTGTAAGTGAGAAACGGACGTTGCCTTTCATTGGGGGGAAAACAAACAAACTTTGAGGCAAGAACTAGATCGCTGTCAAACCACTCACACTCCTTGAGACGTGGGGGGCTTCAGTTCCCAGAATTCCCCAACCAGTTGAGCTGGCTGGGGAGTTCTGGGGAGTTGGAAGTCCACACACGTCTTACAGTTGCCCAGTTGGACAAGCACTGAGGGACTCTTAGCATGGCAGCCTTAAGCCGCCTGGCACTCCATGGACCATCCAACGGTCGGCTGGGTTTTGGTTTCAGTTCTCTTTTGTTGTGGTTCACCGGCAGCAGGTGCAGATGGCTGAGGTCTCGGAGAGCGAGGACTCGGATGAGGGGCCTGCGTGTGAGGCAGGGATGGGGCCAGGACCATCAGGGAGTGGAGGGCTGCCTTCGGAGATTGTGGAGGCTGGCAGCAGTGAGGAAGAGGCCCCTGAGGAGCCTGTGCCCAGTGTGTGTGTGTGCGTGCACAGCTGCTCGAAGGAAAAAGCAACTGCAGCAGCACGGGTGACTCGGGAGTAAGGCTGCAAGGTGATGGCCTCTCCCATAAGAGATAAAAGCCAGCTGAGAAACCAGAGTTCTTTGCAGGAAGCAAAGACGTTTTTGCACTCAAGCCTGGTGGACGTTCGGAATATCTTGGTTGGTGTTTGGAGACTCTTTGTGTTTGAAATATTTCTGAATAACTTTATCTGGTGTTCTTGGCAGCCTTGCACCACCTTGGCAAGGCTCGTTCTTATCAGAGGCAATGAGTTTGAAACAGCCTTTTAACCATGAAGGAATGGAATTCATAAAGAATCATTAAAAGGTTTTGCTTTTATCTCTGTTTCATGTTTGTTCACCTGGAACAAGGTTTGGATCAGAACACCTCTAGTCTGTAGGAGATTTGTAATAGATAACACAATCTTTGCAAACGCTGGGATAAATTGATGGTAAAAATTAGTGAAACCCTGCAATCGTTTTCTGGTGCGAGGGGGAGCCCATTCCTGGAAACAGCACGGGTTTTTCCGGGTCCATCAGCCTCTGGAGAGCAGTGCTGGTCCAACTTGGCAACTGTAAGACGTGTGGGCACTTCCAGCTCCCCAGAATTCCCCAGCCAGCTCAACCGGTTGGGGGATTCTGGGAACTGAAGTCCCCCACGTCTCAAGGAGCAAAACCTTTTAATGATTCTTTATGAATTCCGTTCCTTCCCGGTTAAAAGGCTGTTTCAAACTAATTGATAAGAATGAGCCTTGCCAAGGTGGTGCAAGGCTGCCAAGAACACTAGATTAAGTTGCCAAGAAATATTTCAAACACAAAGAGTCTCCAAACACCAACCAAGATATCACAAACATCCACCAGGCTCGAGTGCAAAAACTTATTTGCTTCCTGCAAAGAACTCCGGTTTCTCAGCTGGCTTTTATCTCTTAAGGGAGGGGCCATTGCAGCCTTACTCCCGAATCCCCCGTGCTGCTGCAGCTGCTCTTTCCTTCGAGCAGCCCTGCGCACACACGCGCTGGGCACAGGCTCCTCGGGAGTCTCTTCATCCCTGCACCACATGCAGGCCCCTCCTCATCTGAGTCCTCGCTCTCCGAGACCTCAGCCGTCCGCACCACAACAAGGTGAGCTACAACACGTCCTTCGTTAAGGGGAGTGGGTAAATGTTTTCTCCCGCCTCTCTTCTCCACAGCTCCTCCATGACCAGGTGGGAGTGGTCACCTTCTCCCCCTACAAGCAGCTCTTCCTGCAGACCTACGCCCGGGGACGAACCACCTACCAGGCTTTGCCCAGCCTGCCCTCGATGTATGGGTACCCTCATCGCAACTGGTACGTGGCGGGCCAAGCCCCCCCAGCTTTCCTGGCCTTCTTTGGGGTGCCATCTGGGGGCAGCAGGGCCTGCTCTTTGCATCAGGAGACAGAAGGAAAATGGGGGGTGGACGGGTGTGGACTGAAGACCCCACTGACCTTTTGGCTTTACTTTATTTTCCAGGTAGTCCTGGATTTATCGTTTAGTTTATTGTCATAGCACATTGCACAACAAAATAAAATACCATCTTCAGTGTACTATACGGTAGAATTCAACAGAGCTCCTGCCCTGGAATAGAAGCTGTTTTTCAGCCTATTTGTCCTTGTTTTTAATGCTCCGGTACCGTCTGCCAGATGGTAATAGTTTAAAAAAAAAAAAAAGGGTTCCCAGGATGAGATGGATCTTTGAGGATGTTTTGAACTGTCTTAAGGCAGAAGGAGCTATGAAGCTCTTCCAAAGAGGGGAGAGGGCAACCCATGATCCTCTGGACAATGACATTCACCTTCTGGAGTGCTTTCCTATCTGCCCCTGTGCAATTGGCAAACCCTACAGAGGTGCAGTAAGTTAAGGTGCTCCCTATGGTGCAGCGGTAGAAGGTCCCCAGCAGTTTTCCAGAGGTTTATAGGACTGAGATGGTTCCAAACCTTTCTGAGCCTTCCCGTTTCTGTACGGGGCCAGGCACTCACCTTCCTCTTTCGGATGTCCCCTCCAGGAAGGACGCCGGGGTGAAAAACGCCGTCCCAGCTGTGGGCCTGAAGCTGAACGACCTCATCCAGCGCCTGCAGCTCTGCTACCAGCTGACCACGGCCGGCAAGTTTGAGGAGGCCGTGGAGAAATTCCGCTCCGTCCTGCTCAGCGTCCCGCTGGTGGTGGTGGACAACAAGCAGGAGATTGCCGAGGTGCCCATTGCTCCCTTTGGCCCGACGGGCAGCCACTTGAAATCCTCCGTTAATGAATTGAAGCTAGCCACATGTGCTGCAGCTTCCAAAAAGGCCAAGGCCACCCTAAGCTGCATTAATAAAGAGGGATAGAATCAAGATCACGTGAAGTGTTAATTCCACTTTACGACACCTTAGTAAGGCCACACCTAGAAGTACTGCATCTGGTTTTGGTCACCATGATGTCAAAAAGAGGTCGAGACTCTAGAATAGTGACGGCAAACCTATGGCACGTGTGCCACAAGTGGCACGCAAAGCCATTTGGGCTGGCACGGAAGCCGCAGGCAAACTTACCGCATGCGTGCACCTCACAGCTGATTTTTTTTCCCCCCACTGGCTGGTTTGAGGCCTTTTTCGGCCTCCCAGAGGCTTGGAAAAAGCCTCTGCAAGGCTTTTCAGGGCGGATGATAGGCCCGTTTCGTCACTTCCTGTAATACCGGAATGACTTCCTGTAATTCCAGAGCGAAGGATGACTTCCTTCCAGCTCAGTTCCACTGCGCATGCACGCCTCCTGCCAGCCAGCTGATTTTCGGGTATATGCCGCGCATGCACAGGGGGCTGGGGCCATCACTGCCCTACACCTTTCCAGATACCTGGCTGTCTAATTTCTTCTTAACAACCTCCAGTGATGGAGCACCTCCAACGTCTGGAGGCCACTGGTTAATTGTCCTCATTGTCAGGAGTGTTGAGGGTCTCTCTGCTTAGCTCCCACCCATTTCTTCTTGTGGCTGTGAAATCCCCTCCCCAAGTCAAAGAGTTCCCCCCACCTGCTGGTATCTCTTTCCTCCCCTCCCTCCCTCTTGCAGACAGTTGTCATCTGCTGAGACTCGGGTTTGAGGTCTTCTTGCCTTGCAGGCCCAGCAGCTGATCGCCATTTGCCGTGAGTACATTGTGGGGCTGTCCATGGAGCTGGAGAGAAAGAAGCTGCCCAAGGATACCCTTGAGGAACAGAAGCGCATTTGTGAGGTGGGTGTAGGGCCGCGGGGGGTTCAACCTTGGCCACTTGAAGAACTGTGGACTTCAATCCCCAGAATTCTCCAGCCAGCAGAGTTGGCTGGGGAATTCTGGGAGTTGAAGTCCACAAGTCTTAAAAAGTTGCCAAGGTTGAAAAACACTGATCCAGAAGAGCAGGCAGAGCTGGGGGGTGGTGGTGGAGTGAAGCGAGTCATCCTCCTAGAATCATTGCGTTCCCATCAAAGGGTCTAAATCCAACCCACTTGTATTCTGTTGTCCCTAATCTGGTGCCAATTGAGCATTGGACCTTAGTTGACTAGATTCTCACGGAGAAGCTCAGGCAGTGAACCTTCTGAGCCTCAGCTTGACGAGGAAGAGGAGGCACAGCCGGGTCCAGTGCCCGACACAGAAGGCAGAGAGGAGAGGAGAGCAGTGGAAATCTATGGGCTGGTCCTTGGGACGGAAGAGCCACTGCTGCGAGCGAAACCCCACCCTGGCTCTGGGGATCAAAGGCAGCGGGAGGAGATGAATGGAGGTGGTAGACAACTACTCACCTCCTGGACGGACAGGCTTGTTAGCCGGCGGTGAGAGAGAAACGTTTTGCCGGGGCTGCCGGCGCTCCTAATTAAAGGAATCTTTTGAGTTCACTGCAGAGGATTTGTCGGAGCTGGGTCGGAACCCAGACCCCGCAGTGACCCTGGAGCCTCTGCGTCTTGAGACCCTGTCCCCTTTCCTGCAAATCCCACCCCAACCCCCCCCCCCTTTCTGATCTCACTCTTTCCCCTGCAGATGGCCGCCTACTTCACCCACGCCAACCTGCAGCCTGTCCACATGATCTTGGTCCTTCGAACGGCCCTCAACCTCTTCTTCAAGCTCAAGAACTTCAAGGCGGCCGCCACCTTCGCTCGCCGACTCTTGGAGCTTGGCCCCAAGACCGAAGTGGCTCAGCAAGTGGGTGCCCTGAGGGAAGAGAAGTGGGGGCATCTAAGAGAGGCCGGACGGGGGGTCTCCAAAGGGAATTGGGGTCTTTTTTTTTTTTCAACTCTTGGAAGAGGCTTAGAGTGGGGAGGCCTGAAAGGGGGAGCGTTTATATGTGAGAGCGGAGAATATCACCTTACTTTGGGGGAGGGATGGCCCAGCTAAAAACGGGGATCCCATCTCCCCCCACCATATTCTGGTGGATTAAGCCAGCTTTTTTCTCTGAAAGGGCATTGAGGCCTTAAGGCAAAGGGGTCCCCAAACTGGGCAACTTTTAAGACTTGGGGGCTTCAACTCCCAGAATTCCCCGCTCAGCCCGCTTTAAGATGTATAAAGTTCAACTCCCTGAATTCCCAAGCCAACATTTTGGGATCTTGGCTTGCTGGCTGAGGAATTCTGGGAGTTGAAGTCCACAAGTCTTAAAAGTGGCCCAGTTGGGGGACCCCTCTGCCTTAAAGGGATAAATAAATAAAGGCCTGTTTGTTTTCTTGGGTGGTTCGTATGCCTCCCAGACTCACTTTCTGTGAGATAGGTGACCATATGAATTACAGACAGACAGACAGACAGAATAGCAGACAGGCAGAAATATAAGGAAAGAGAAACAAACAGACATAATAGAAAATATTTTCAGCTCAGGTTTTAGGTTTTGGCAGTGCTTTTACTCTCAAAACTTGTTTCAGTTTAGTTTTTGAGGATGTTACCCAGTCTGGTTAACGAATCGTTCAGAAACAAGGTTGGAGAGCAAACCACTGCCACAAACAGCGGTAGATAGATGATATAGATATGGATGGATGGATGGATAGTGGATAGGTAGGTTGGGGTGGGATTCAACCGGTGTAACAACCAGATTGGTGAGCGCGTCCGAACTGGTAGAATCCCCCCCCCCCCGGTAGATAGGTAGCGTAGATAGATAGACAGACATAAGGGAAGGAAGGAAGGAAGGCAAAGAGAGGAAGGAAGGAAGGAAGGAAGGAAGGAAGGAAGGAAGGAAGGAAGGAAGGAAGGAAGGAAGGAAGGAAGGAGAGGCAGGGAGGGAGGGAAGGAAAAGAGAGGAAGGAAGGAAGGAAAGAAAGAAAAAGAAAGAAAAAGAAAGAAAGAAAGAAAGAAAGAAAGAAAGAAAGAAAGAAAGAAAGAAAGAAAGAAAGAAAGA